TAACACTTTATTCTTTTTTGTGCCTGTATTCTTGGATAGGGAAACAGAATGACCCTGCATCAAAGGTACTATTCGAGTTTCTATCTCAATGTAAATATGATTATTTCCTTTGATTCTAAGATTACTTACTCCATTGCCACACCTTTAACCCGATTTCCTGAAGTTCATCTAAAAACATGTGAAATATGAAAGCCTTTGTTCCTTTACCTTTCTGCTCCAAACTTAAATACATGTTACCTATTTTTTGCCATATGATCTGCTAAAATGACTTGACTAAATTATATATACATGATCAGTCCTACCACCCTATGCCTTTAAAAACGTCAAAAATGGATTTATACAGAAGTATAACTATAAAGTTGATTTGAATTGTCGTATGAGCATGGTAACAAACCCACAAAATAATTATTATAAAGTATTTTTATACTTTTGATTCATGAATCATCCAAGCTTATCCTTAGATACGTATATTCCAACCTTGGAACATTCAGAGGAAAACACATATGCACATTATATTGATATCAATAAAAATCAGTCATAAGACAAGCATAAGCTATTATGTCAAGATAATTACTTTTTTAGTTTGCTAAAGCTAAGGTTTATTATTCTTGACACCTCGATTTATTTAAAAACCAACAAAAACAAAGCTTCTCAAAAGAATGTTCTCATAGATTTTTTTTCCCCCTAAATACCCAAAATCCACCTCTATCAAGTCAGTTGTGACTCAGAGTGACCCTATAGAAGGTTTCCAAAGGCTGTAAATCTTTGCAGGAGCACACATGTCTTGCAACGGTTAGCAGACAGCACCAGCAGGGCTTCTTGGACTTGTGCATAAGATTAAAAGTAAAATAATAAAAAAACGTAATGGAACTTCATTATATCTTAACAGGAAAAACATATTGGCAAATGTAGAGAGAGAAGGGAAAGAACTTTCAACATCACATTACTGTGATATCACAGTTTAGCAATTACCTTTGGGGTCTACTAGCAAATAAATCTCACTTTTAAGAGTTCAAAGTTTACACTATGATCAGTTATGATCCTCTGAAGATCTAAATTTTAATGATAATACTATCAGAATATATTTTAAATTTTCAGGATAGATGCTTACTTCATTGTAAAAATAATAATTTAACATCCTTAAACTATAAAACTAATGAAATTAGTAAAGCTATCTCAAAATCATATTTAGGTATCCAAAGGCTAAAAATAAGAAGGACATTTTTAAACAAGGGGCCTATTTTTGTGTGTTGAGTATTTGCTAAGTTTGAGTTGTGTTTTGGTTAAAATGTCAAAATTTAAAGATTTAATATTCTCTTTGCCTTGTGAAAAGGAGTTCTGGTGGTATGTGGCTTAAGCTTTGGGATGCTAACCAATAGGTCAACAATTCAAACCCACTAGCCACTCTGCAAAAGATGAGGCTGTCTGCTTCCATAAAGATTTACAAGCACAGAAACCCTATGAGGCAGTGTTACTCTCTCCCATAGGGCCACGATGAGTTTGAATCAACTAAAAGGCAGTAAGTAGGTTGGGTTTGGTTTTCATTCATCTTGTGAATTCAGCAGGAAGACTAAAGCAGAGCAAGATGACACAGAAAGTTTCAGAAAATAGATTAGACTAATGGCTTTAGTAATATATAAAAGATGTATTTGTAGTTTTAAATTTTTACCTTTTATACTGCAAAGTGAGTTATGCATTGGTTGGTATACTAATCATACAGTCAGCCGTTCAAGCCCACCAGTTAGTCCATATAGAAAAATAAGGCTGTTTACTCTCAGAAAGATTTATAGTCTCAGAAGCTCGGAAAAGTAGTTCTACTCTGTCCTATAGGTTGTTGTGAGTTGGATGGCAGAGGATATAGGGTTCTAAGTTATAATCTGTCAGATTTTAAAACAAAACAGGCTTTCAGTTCAAGACAGATATTAAACAACCTTGTTTACAGAATATGCTCTTTCATGGCAAAAGCTCATAAAGCTTCAAGCACATAACTTATGACGATACATTATAATTATTCAGAAATCAGACAGTACACATATACGCAGTTGATACTGATCCTTAGATAGCATTAAACTACTCAATTTTCAGAAGTCTCTGGTTGTACTTGAACTAGTATGTCCACAGCCTTGTTAACTGTAGCATTATTCACAACAGCAAAAAGATGGAAACAACCAAAGTGACCATCAACAGATGGCTACTTAAACTATAGTGCATACATACAATGGAATAAGATAGAACACTGAAGAATAACACAAAATGGTGAAACACTTCGTAGCATGGGTGAACCTGAAGAATGTTATGCTGAGCGAAATAAACAACAAAGGGCAAAAGTCATAGAGAGGGTGGGAGAAGGAGAGAAAAAAAGAGGAGCTGATTAATATCAAGGGCTTACGTAAAAAGAAAATATTTTGAAAAGGATGATTGCAACAATGTGCAAACGTGCTTGACACAATGGATACATTGATTGATATAAGAGCTATAAGAGCCCCCAATAAAAAGATTTTTTTTAAAAAGTCAAAAAAAGGTTTACGCAACAGGAAAGGAAAAAAAAGGAGAGGAGGGAAGGCAGAGCAGCAAATACATATTTATTTGGGGGAAGGGAAAGACAATATGTAGTAAGGGGCAATCACAGAATCATTAAAGAAAAGGCAGGAGGTATACAAGCATTACAGACAACAATGGCTAGTTATTACAAGTACATCATGATTATAAATACAAACATTAATCTACAAATGGATACACAGGCAGTCAGGAAGAGGAACAAGTATTAGAAGATGAAAGGGACTAAACTCAACCATATGTAGGTCTGGCAGATGATTAAGTCTACATACATTGTTTTTTGGGGGGGTTGGGTTCAATGGTTTATTTTTATTTTACCTTATAAGCTATTTTATTACAATCTAATCCAGACATCATACCATAGTTCAGTCACAGCAAACAATGTTGTACAATTGCTACCACAATCAAAACATTTTCTTCTTCTTGCACCCCCATTAACCCCCCTCCTACCGTTATGCTTTGAGTAAATGGGTCACTAGGCCTGGCAAACACATCTTTAATCTGGTAGAACTCCAGAGATTGGCCCTTAACAAGCTTCAGCGAGTCCTGTATTCACCCCCAAGCGTCAACTTTCTATCAAACAATACTCAGGCCTGTAGGGCAAACAATAACACCTGGAGGGCACAGTCTTTAGAATAAACAACCACACATCATCAAGAGGGTAGCATTTGCCCAAGGATAAAGCTTACTTAAAAGGAACAGAAAAGGAAAACACAAGGGAGAGGTAAGAAGGCTGTTACACAAATGTGCTTGACACAATGGATGTTATGTATGGACTGTGAAAAGAGCTGTAAAGGCCCCTAATCAAACGATTTAAAAAATATTTAATCAGGAAATGAGAAGGGAAAAAAAATGCTGTTATATTGTTTGGACTGCAACCAATGTGATTAAACAAAATGTTTATGAATTGCTAAATAGAAAACTAATTTCTTCTGGGAAGTGTCACTGAAATAACAATAAACTAAGATTTTAAAAATAACCTCTGGCTGTTCTAAAATAAAAAATATTATCTTAATTAAAACTCAAAATGTCATGAGTTAACTTTATTGTCCAGTCCTAATTATGAAGGTAAATTAGAGTAACAAAAATATTTTAAATTTGCCTGCAAAGATATTTTAAAGCTACTTTAACAGTGTAAAAACCACTGTAATTAAGCTGTTATAATTTGTC